TATGCTTTCCTTTAAAGGATGAAGAACGGGCTCGAGTGGAGGCTCTCCGGGATGAAGATATGGCTCTGGCCATCCCGGGCCTGGCACGTCCTTTCAATATTCAACATCAACACCAATTACAGCTATTGCGGGGTGACGAAAACTTGCTAATCGATGCCAATCAATCATACTATTCTGCTAGAGCGAATGCCATGCTCAATATCGAACATACAATTGTCGAATTGGGTGAGATCTTTCAGCAACTAGCCACCATGGTAAGCTAGAACTCGACATAGAGAGGAAAATCAGTACTCATGACGATTGATAACTAAGCGAGTTGTAGATAGGAGGACCAAGATGATGTAGCCTTGGCTACGGTTGCAGTATCCTTTACCTGTATAGTGTTGGTTCTTCCTCGTTTTCACAACTTTGTCGAAGCGACACATACACCTTGTGAGACTTACCTATTTCTGTGTCCTCTGCCACAGTATTCATGATAATTTGGTCCTTATTACCGTCCAAACGACCAACAGAATTAAGACCATGATATCAAAAGCCACAGGGGATGCCTAGCACAATACCTTGTCATGTCAAATTCTAGAGAAAATTTTTAAAAACTCCTGGCTAGTTCCATTTATTTCCTTTAATAGGTGTATAGTTCCCAGCGCAGCTGTATCGTTGTAATTAAATGGCGGTCCCTACTCGGTAAAGTGAAACAAGCGGCGAAATGCTTTCCACGTTTCGCCGGCATCGCTAGTGAGAGCCTCTATCCTTACCACAGAGTTGCAACCTATCAAAGTGACATGTCATTTAGAGTAGATATCTTGTTAGCCTACAACTGGGAGCTGCAAATACTGTCGACTTGATAAGCTGTGGAAATATAAATCACGGTACGACTGGTCGAGATTTTGTTAATCCAGATATCTAGGTCCCCGTTATTGATGATCCATTGGCATCCGTCATATAATTACGTGGCAGCTATACGTCTTAAATAAACGCTGCACTACTTCGGTTCGATTCCCGATGGGAGTGCTGATTAGACTTAGGTGAAGTCGGAAGCGAGACTTACTCATATTAATTTGGAAACATTCACTTTCGATCGTTCATCAACCAAAGCGATCTACGCTGACTAAAGTTCTTATTCAAAATGTATTTTATCTTTGATCATTTTCATTGATGCAGGTCCACGAACAAGACGAGTCCGTGAGACGAATAGATGCTAATCTCGACGAGGCGTCTACTCGGATAGAAGCAGGCCATTCTGAGCTAGTCAAATATCTCCAATCAATCAGTTCTAACCGTTGGTTAATCTTTAAGGTCTTTGGAGTTTTGGTCATATTCCTCCTCATTTTCATCTTCTTCATAGTTTAGCTCTTCACTTTTCGGCATGCCACTGATTTCTTCCATCATTTCATCCACGGCTTTATCTCAGTTTAGTCAGAGTACTAGGGCCAGATTATTTTGATATAACTCGGATACCGTCAATAAACCACATAACATATCCGGATTTTCAGCTCGGGGGTTAACTTACTACAATAAATTATATATTTTTCTTGCATTAACACTCAAGAGTATGGATATAACTTGCCCCCTCAGCTGGAGCTATCATAAGTTTAAACTGTAATTCGTTTTATCTCACAGTGCCCTGAAGACAGCCGGAGTGACTAATCTATTTTGACTCTCTTAGTGAGTTAGATATCAACTATTATCTTTTTCCAGATGCATCATTTGAATAACTGGCACCTGCCTTTCTTGTTAATTCATCTTGTTGCTTTTACTCGATATCGACTCTCAACTATTCCGCCAATTAGGCAAATTGTATGATGGATCATCCCGTTCTGACTCTATTTTTATGCATCTTAATTGCTATTGCACTGTACTCCAATAAAATATACATTGAACACTGCTTTATTGTGCACATTGGTGATTACCACGGCTTAAATCTCTCGAAATCTCTGCTCTCATTTTTGTTTTTTTCAATTTTAATTTCTGTGCTAAACAGATTTCGCACCAATCCTTGTCTTTCATTGTATTATTCTCGGTATTCTCACTCATTTACCCAAGACTTATATAATTCCTCTCATCCCTCTCCATCTCCCTGATTCTCCAACATATTTTTGTCTGCATTTATAATATCTTTACATTTTGTTTGCTGTGTTTAGGTCCTTCTGTCCATACCAGTCTGTTACACATTTCTATTCTGAATCCTATAAACTTTTATCCGTTTTACTCATTTCAACTTTTCCTCCTTGCCATCTATTATGACACATCTTTTCATGGATCTTAAATATATACTTTTGTGAATAAATATGCTATACTTTTGTGGAAGATTTATATTAGTCCATGTATGCATGAGGGCCAATGCGTTCACATGCATTATTTGATACTATAGAGTTGATGCTGTAGTTAGTTGTATTGCTTGCCTAAACGGCTTTCTCATGTGGTTACTTCACATTAAGCTCATTTATTTCTCCTTTTCTTCTCAGGTTCCTGCCGCTTTCCTCTGTATCTCTCCAGAAAAATCCCTAATTCTCCTTACTGCCTTGGTATTATCTTATTTTCCAATGTATTGTTTTGTTTATTTATAGACTATTTTGGACAGAAATAAAGTCATTCTCGATATGCTTATGCAGAATAATTTATTTGCATCGATTTATTTTCTTGCTTTCTAAAAAAATAGGACATTTAGTATATCTAGGGTCCCAAAATGCGTTTCTAAACAATGCAATGGTTTGTACAAAACTTAAATTTTTTTTATTTTTTACACATTATTTGAAATAATGCTTGCGATCTGCTCAGTTTTATTCGTATGATGACGCCATAGTGTTTTTTTGTAGTGCTGGCTAAATATTGGGTTCGGAAAACTGTTCCATCGTATCCCTTACTATTTTCCCAGGCAGTTATTTATGCAATTGACAGTTGAAAGCACAACACCCATTAGTAACGTCCTCTGGTTGATCTCTTATCTATGGCATGAGACATCCTCTTGAATATAATTCTTGGACTCCCTTTTTTATGGTGCCAAATCAATTAGTCTGCTTAGCCCAGTCATCCTTAATCTTAACTAGATTTAACTTAGTATGTCATGCAATAAACTTATTTTCTTTCCTTAATCATCATATATTCTACCTGAGGTATCATGTGTTGATAAACCTTCCAAGCTGAGAGAATAAATAATACTTATTACTAATGCACTAGGCTGGGGTAGGTTAAATTAATGTTGACCTGACAATATGCTTCATGCACCACTGGCGTAGGCTTAGCACGGATCTATACGGGATCGGCAGACGGAAAATGTTGTAGTAATAACTTTCGAGTCCATAAATAAGTTGATCAAAGCGAAGTCGGTTCTTATTTGTTATCGGACAAGGAAAAAATTTGTCAAGAAATGCATTTCAGCCAAGTGTCCAGCTGTCATTGAAACATTACCTTAAGACGATATCGAGTATTGACGCTCAATAGGTTGGTCTTTATAACCGTCTAAACGACCAACAGAATTAAGACCATGATATCAAAAGCCACCGGGGATGCCTAGCACAATACCTTGCCATGCCCAATTCTAGAGAAAATTATGAAAAACTCCTGGCTAGTTCCATTTATTTCCTTGACTAGGCGCATAGTTCCCAGCGCAGCTGTATCTTTGCTATTAAATGGCGGTCCCTACTCGGTAAAGCGAAACAAACGGCGAAATGCTTTCCACTCATTTTTTAGTGGGACCATACGTTAAGCAAATTACTTTGATTAGCATCTCATGCGAATCGTATATTTGCGAGGCTCATGGTACTATCCTCCAATTCTCCCTATATTCCCTATCGTCTACACAATTATTTACTAACTATTTCTGGGTTTAGTTCTTTTTATTCGTAAAGCATGCAGAGAAAAAAAGAACATCTCGCAGTCCCTTTTAAATGTAAGTCTAGATGGACTTTGTCTTTTGTTCCCATAGCACTGTTTCTTAGACTGAAGCCTTCATAATCAAGCCCCTCAACGCTCTCTAAGAAAATGTTTATCTCCTTATTTGATATTAAAAAAATTGGTAAGCCTTTGCATTACGTATCCTTGCAAAGTTCTTCTCTACAACTTTTTCCATTGAATCCGGACTGTATTTCATCCACTTTTCTCATAGCCTCACATAATTAACAGTATATGCCATCCCGTTACATTTTAGGTTACTTATAAGCCTTTATTTTAATTTTATAACGAGCCATCATCACTACTGAGAGCAGCTGCAGCTGGTCTGTCCTAGTATCCACTCTTTCATCAGATAACTAGTAATTTACCCTATTCTTTTTCAATTATCTCCTTAAACATGTATCCATTATTTAAATTCTTCAATCTGCGAATTTCACCTTTACTTTTTTTCGTTGCTTCAGGGCCTGCTATCAGGATAGAATATATTAGCGGAAAATCGGATTTCATTTAACATAAATTAACAATTATTGTCTTTTTATAGAGAATAAATTTCAACAACAAATATAATTTTGCTTTATTGCAATATCACTAATCAGACATGAATTGTTTGAGTCCTCTCGATCAGGACCTCACACTTGTACCTTAATTAATTTGACATTTGGGTAGTTAGATGGCGAGGCTAAGAGTGTTGAAAAGCCCGGATGACAATTTGCTGTAAGTAAAATTCACAGAAAACCTAATTTCATCCTTTAATTATATTAACTAGTAGAAGGCAATTTCCATAATTTAACTATAAAAT